ACCTATTGGGATTTTTTAAAAAGCTGTCACGCTGTTAAAGAATGCCTTGATAATGTTGATACCACCTGTTATTCCATATATCAGTGCCTTTTGATGGTTTTTAAAGTGTGATATTTTCCTGTTTGACTTTCATACCAAACCTGAGAAGTGGTTAGGTTCAGAAATACTATACCTTATCACAATGAGGAAATAGTCCCAAAGAGGATGAATCTTATCCAAGATTCAGCGCCAGTCTTCAGCAGAGCCAGATCTGGAATCCAAGATCATCTCTTGGCTTCCCTCGTCAGCATGCTGCCTTTGTGCTCCCTGTATTTCCTGGTTAGTGATAACTAAGCCTTTTTCAGAATAGCATTTTATAAAAATGCTGCTTTGTTGAAACTTGAGAGATTTAAAACACAATATTGCAAGAGCCTCTCTGTCTCAGTGGCATGTTTCTTCAGCCAGCTCTTTCTAGCTTATTAAAACAAACTGTGTCATACTTAGAAGACATTCACTCACATATTTTATTTTATCAGTGCATTTCCTTACAATTACACAATGTCATTCCAGGAGGAGTGAGAAATCAGGCCACGGCCGGCGTTGCTGCCTTTTCTGGTCTGAAGCACTGGTAGTAGGAAGAGGCAGTTAAATGTGAATACCAAAATGCTTCTTTGTAGAAACAAAGGAAAAACATAGCTCTTTAAAAAATGTTTTAGGTTATGCATAGGACAACTGGAATCACACACCCACCTAAAATGCTAATATATTTGTTTCTTGCAGCAATGTTGAGGTTTTTGGAAAACCGCTATAACATCTGAGCCAGCTCAGCTGCTTCAGAGCTTTGTGTGTCCTTGGATAGGCAACTTAATTTCTCTAGGATTCAGTTTCCTCATTTTATTTTTAAAATTATTTTGTTTTTAAATACCTCATCATGGACTCCAAAGGCATGTCTCCTCATTTTAAAAACTATTATAATACCTACCACAAAGGTTGATGTGAGTATTAAATAGAGTTTTATACAGAATTCCCTCAGGCATTTTAAAGTTTCTGTAATAGGGATATATCTTACAGTTGATGGGTACATTTAGTGTAGTCCCCCCACCTCCCATGCTAATAATGGTGTATCTTACAACTGATGGTATCAAACTGAGGTAATAATTACCTGTAAAAAGTTTGATGCAATGTGAAGCATAATATGCATTCAATAAGTAGCTGCTATCATTTAAAAAAATTTAAATATGGCTCCTGTGTTAAGGCCATATCCCAGGAGGAAAGTGTGGTCTCTACTGGGAGGTTGTTCTACATACAGGAAGCCAGATGTGTGAGGAGGCTGTAGATGGGCCGAAGGGGAGAGCTCATATCCTCTAGGAACCTATTAATAGATATTGAGGGTGGGAGAAGGCAGTGGGCTTTGTGGTCATGTTAAAGTCAGTATCTATACCATTGAGCAAAGAGCTAGCCAGAGAAGGACTTAAAAACTAGATTTTCTTGATTCATGGAACTATCATAGAAATGTTTATTGTTGCTTTTTATCATTTCATGTTCTTTAAGGAAGTCTTACATTGAATGTCTTCAGCCTTATCTCAGCTGTGGTTTAGAGAGAGCTGGTCAGAACCAATTGTTTATTGTTTGGCCATGGTGTTAAAGGGAGAGCCTGGCTCCTTTTGGGAGGAGTAGCAGTATTTGGCTGGAGACTCTATTGGGAAGGTGAATTTTAGGAAAGGGGTTAGGAGCCAGGTGCAGTGTCACACACGTATGGTTCCAGCTACACTCTGAAGGCTGGGGTAGGAGAGTGGTTTGAGCCCAGGCCAGCCTGGGCACCATAGCAAGACCCCATCTCTAAAAAAGAAAAGAAGGGGATCAGGGGATTAGGATGTAATGGCTTGTTCAACTGCTCCTCCCCTTTTGGAAAACTTCCTTCCAGTGGCATGCCTGGACGTGCCAAGTTGCACTTTGTGAGAAAAAGCAGCCTGTCCTTATAGCTCGTTCCGTGCAAACAAATCTGAAAGATCTGTCCTCTAGTTTAAGTGTCTCTAATTTGGATGGAGAGAAGAGTGAAGATGTGAATCTCAGGTAGATGGAACATAAAATGAGCTCATACTGTGCAAACTTTTTAGTAGCCTCTCTTTTACATATAGGTTTACAGTGTGTTTTGGATACACAAAAGTATTTAGGGATAAAGGGACTTTAACTCTCTAACTTAAACAGTTCAAAATGTATGTGGGTGGAAGAGAAAAATATAAAGCAAATATAAAGTGCTAACATTTGGGAAATCTGGGTAAAATGTATGTGGGAAATCCGCTTACTGGTTTTTACAGTTTTTCTGTAAGTATGAAATTATATTTAAAGAAAAAGTTAAAAATGTATATCCTGAACATCTTTTCATGCGCACACCTGTTTATGTTATTGAACCTGCATAACATACCATTGTATGGATGCACTGTAAAGGTAGCTAGGCTCCTGCTGTTTTGCATTTGCTCATTTCCAATTATTTGCCGGTGGACACAGTGCTTTGTGGAGATCCCTAAATATGATATGTCCTCATATGTTTGGAATGAAATCCCTGTTCCCCTTTGAAACACCTTCACTCCCATAATGGACTTGCCAGGAAAATTAACAGTATATTAACCAACTAATGCTTGAATCTAAGACCTTATTTAGAATTTTAAGTGGGTTAAGTGGTGACTACTTATTAGTATCTGGATAAAGTAAATGTTGCTAATCTAAAATAAGCTCTCAGAATTTCATCAGTCTTGGTTCATCCCACATAACAAAACTCTTTTGAAAAAATGAGTATTTTGGTGACATGAAACGTCTTGGCAAAGTGTCAACTGCTTGAGTAATTATGAAGATCAGAAAAAAGCAGTCTCTTGAAAGGGTGTGGCTTTTTGAACTCGTTGTGTTGGAAGCAACGGACAAATCTCTTTTGCCTTCATTTCAAATGTGCTGCACTATTTTTATTGGTTGCCAAATATTTTGATTGGATTTCTAGTCTCATTCCAGCAACACGTAGGATGAGGGGAAAATATTTTCCAGACTCAGCATAGTCATGTGCTTGTTCTATTGATTCACCTTCAAATTTTAATTGTTGTTTTTTCTAATGATGTGTGTAAAAAATTGAAACCATAGAACACAATTACATTTTACCCTCAGGTAAAAACAGCATTTATTTCTGTATCTTACATTTGGGCTAAAATAGAGCATATAAATGTTTGGTCCAGTTTTTAGGTGTTTCTTAATGGTTTTGAAAACAAAAAGCAGTCCTGGTTGTTTGCGTGCATAATGCCTAGAGGTTGTGAGTCCAGTGGTTCCCGCCAGATGTAAGGGATACCCTTGATTCTCTTTGGTTATACCTGACTTCCTGGCCCTACCTTGATAATAACAAACTGCCAACATTTTATTAAGACTCTTTCCAGGAAATGTACATGTTTTAAAAACAGACCGCATCTGAATTTTTTGTTAATTTTTAAATTTTATTTTAAAATTTTTATCTGTTTTGAGACTGGGTTATGAGACTGGCTAATTTCTGTATTTTTGGTAGAGATGGGGTTTCACCATGTTGCCCAGGCTGGTCCCAGATTCCTGAGCTCAGGCAGTCCGGCTGCCTCAGCCTCCCAAAGTGCTGGGATTATAGGTGTGAGCCACCGTGCCCGGCCTGCGTCTGAATTTTGACATATCCAATAGATTCAATTACAGGATGGTGTGAATGTTCATATGCTTTATTCTTTCCTTTTCCTTCTTCCATAGAGTGAATTGGAATGAGGGAAATGGTAGATTAATAAGCCCTAGATTGCAAATTAGCAACCAATGCTATATTAAATTAAACTTAAGTTAGAACCAAGAACAGGAGAGAATCCCTTGCCAACTGTTCTCTAGCTGCAAGGTAGATATTGTATTAAACGGACCAAGAAGAGCAGAGCTTTATGCATAGCAGTGGCAATAATGGGAAAGTCATATGTTGTATAGTACTTGCTGTACTGTGCCCACAGTGCCTGGCTCATGAATTGACACAGAGCAAGTTGCTGTTCCATTGAAAACCTTATGTCTCTAGTTCAGAAAAAGTATTAATTTTAATTTAACTTTGCCCACTTTCTCTGCTCTTAAAAATATGTAGACTGTAAAATACCACTCCCTAGACACTGTCTGGTGGTGATACCAGCAGCAATAATCATTATTTGTTTAGCCTAGGTGGTAAGGAAGAGGTAGAAATAGTGGATCTTTCCACTATTTAAGATAACTAATCTCTCCTCCCCTTACAGTCTTTCTCTGGGAAAATTTTGTGTGCATGTGTGTATGTATGCATGTATGCATAAGGTGAAATGCTGACTTTAGAGATATTTTTAACTTTAAAATGAATTTTGGCAGGCTAGAATGTTTATAAATAATAGGCTATCCTTGACTGGATTTAGGACCCCTTACTTTGGAGCAGTAACGTGTTCAGATGATCATCGTCTTTGTCTTCATTTAATGTGGCAAGTAGGTTAGCTGTTACTATGAGGTAGCTGACTGCGAAACCTATTCTAATCTCATTTTGTACATCTGTTATTCCCTAGGTTTACTAATATACTAATTTTCCTTAATAGAGAAATTTTCCATTAGAAACTTCTGACCTGAGGGTCAACAGTTAGTCTGCCATTGTCTCCATCATTACTATGTTTCCTGACAAGATTAAGTTAGATTCATCTCTCTGGTCTTATTTCATCCAAATGTAAAGTTGTTGTTATGTATATGCAGCCAGAGTGATCTTGGCTCACTGCAACCTCCACCTCCCTGGCTCAAGCGATCCTCTTGAGTAGCTGAGGTCACAGACGTGTACCCCTTGCATGGCTAATTTTTGTATTGCTTTTGGTAGAAATGGAGTTTCACCATGTTGCCCAAGCTTCAAATGTAAAGTTCTTAATACTTAGCTAGTAGAAGGTAAGCCTTGAGATGAGTATTGCTGCATTAATACAGTCACCTACCAATACCATCACTCTCGACTCTTGTTTGCTAACCTTTTGTTTTTTGCTTTTCACTTTCAGCAGACCTACTCCAATGAAGTCCATTGTGTAGAAGAGATTCTAAAGGTGAGTTCACTGCTACTCTTTCTCATTTGAAGCAATACTTAAGTAGGCAGGGGTATATCCATTTATTTTCACTTTGAAGAACAGTTGCCATTGGCTGGGCGTGGTGCCTCATGCCTACAATCTTAGCACTTCCGGAGGCCGAGGCTGGCAGATTGCTTGAGCTCAGGAGTCGCGACCAGCCTGGGCAACATGGCAAAACCCCATATCTACTAAAAAAATAAAAATTAGCCAGACATGGTGGCGCGTGCCTGTAGTCTCAATTATTTGGGAGGCTGATTCAGGAGTATCACTTGAACCCAGGAGATGGAGGTTGCAGTGAGCCGAGATCATGCCACTGCACTCCAGCCTGGGCAACAGAGTGAGACTGTTTCCAAAAAAAATAATAAAAAATAAATAAATAAATAAATAAAAAAAAAATAAAGAACAGTTGCCATTCCCAGCCCCCTTTAACCACTTCTCCCCCATTCCCATCTCCAAAGGCTAAAGTAAACCAGAATACTAACAGAAGTCTTGGAATGTAATTGAATTATCTGCCAGGTTTTATTAATTACATTGACATATACAAACTACAAGGCATTTGGACCAGATTTTTGTGACATGTCTCATAAGTTTTTCTGGTTGTCCATAAAGACCCAAGAGAGTTGCTCACTTCCCAGAGAGGATACACCCTGTATTGATGTGGTGTGGGATGCACCAGTGGTTAAACGGTGCTTGATTTATACCTCTTCGCATTCTGTAGGTGATATCTAATACCTGTGGTCTTGTACATGTGGCCTCTTCTTCAGTGACACCATAAAATTTTAAATAAAAAGAAAAATAGTGGGAAGTAAATGGTCATCTTTAGACTTACCTTGAATGATTACTGTTTGCTCTTGTTTATTGAAACTATACCATGGACATTTGTGCTTTCACAAATATATCATTGAATACATTATCCACTTGTTCAGTTTTTCTTGTACAAGGATGACAAATTCCTTCTAGAATTTAATTCCAGGGGAACAGTGTTAATTTTCCTCATGAACTGGCATTCTTTCTTTTTATCAGAGGAGAATTATATATAAAATATCATCTCTTCCATTTTGCCGTTAATTTCCAGGAAATGCAGAGTTTAATTTTAATGCACAGGTACAATAATTGTAAAAACTGAGGGTTTCATGTATTTTTTCTCCCTCTTCTGTGGCTTTTAATTTGCTTCTAGGTCAATTTTAATGATATTCTTGTCTTTTACTATAGAGCTTCTGACTTTTTTTTTTTTTTTTNTTTTTTTTTTTTTTTTTTTTTTTAATTAGTAGGAGAGATGTAGTGACTGTTATTTGAATCTCTACTGCTCATTTTTTCTCAAAATATATGTTTGCCCAATTTTATTTTTTAACTTTTCATTTTAAAGTTTTACGTGATGATGGTGCCAAAACCACTAATTAAATATGTTGGTTATCTCCTCACTTGTGAAATTTTTGACAGTAATAGTATCTAACCAGTTGTTTGGAAAACAGTTTTATTGTTTTTGTTTTATAGTCTTTTGTCCGCTGTTTTGTAGTTAGGGTTTTCTGAGAAAGAACCTCTAGAGAAACATACTTTTTCTTTTTTTTTTTGAGACAGAGTCTTGTTCTGTCACCCAGGCTGGAGTGCAGCGGCGTGATCTCAGCTCACTGCAACCTTCGCCTCCCAGGTTCAAGCAATTCTTGAGCCTCAGCCACCCAGCCTGGTGGCAGGGATTACAGGCATACCACCACAACCTGCTAATTTTTGTATTTTTAGTAGAGATGGGGTTTCACCATGTTGGCCAGGCTGGTCTCAAACGCCTGACCTCAAGTGATACACCCTCAAGTGATCCGTCCGCCCCGGCCTCTCAGAGTGCTGGGATAACAGGCTTGAGCCACTGTGCCCGGCTGAGAAACATACTTTGAACTGCAAACAGTGAGGAATTTTTGTCAACCAGCATGTAAGGTTAAATAAGTTACCTTGATTATATTTTTGTATTGGCCTTTTCCTCTTCTATTTCTGAATTTTTTTGGTATGGCAAGTTGTAAACACAAGAAGCCACTTAATTATAAACTATGGCCTTAGTATTTTTTTTTTTAATTAAAAAAAAAAAACAAAATTACTTTTTCATTAAAAAAAATATTTCACTATGGTTTGTAGGCCTTAGTATTTCCTCTGAAATTGTGCATGATTTGTTCTATCGTTATTTCAGAAGTAAATGCAACAGTGCAGATTTGTTGTCTTCTGCATATGTCAGATGCTTCTCTTAGGTTTTGGTGTGTGTTAGTATAAGACATGTCATATCCTTTATTTAGGAATGATGGTATTACAGTGTCAGACAAGCATTTTTAATTTAATGAACCCATCCATCCTCCTTCCATTCTCACCCAACATGTTGTTAGTGAATTCTTGCTTACCTGGAAATGCTTGAGAGTGAGTGGTCAGTGCATAAATCATGCGCATTTATGATTTGGAAATCATAACTTGGGAAAGCAAACGGAACGATGTCCAGGACTGAACAGGTCATAGGCCTTTCATATTGGAGAAAGTCCCTTCTCTTCTGTCTGTGACCTCAGTTAAGTTATATGTCCCCACCAGGCTTTGGTTTCCGCATTGGTAGAATGAAGTCCCTGGGCTGGTGGATGATCTCTAGGGTGCATTCCAGCACTCACTCTTGACGCTGATCCAGATACTACTTTCCGTTGCCTCCTGGTTCCCGTTCTCATCTTGTACCAGCAATTTATTAAGCTTGCCAGGAATCTAAACACAAATCTTTCTGATGGGTGACAGAGACAGTAAATAGTTTCCTAACAGAGAAAATCAATCATAGAAGATAATGTTTGGTTCTCTGGGGGTAGTATTTAAGGGGGAAGTGTTGTAATGAAGGGGAAGCGGTGGCCAGTAACTGCAGCAGGCTAATGGAGTAAGAAGATAGCAGACCAACACTGTTAGTTGTCAAGCAGTGGTGATGCACTAGGGTCCAGAAAGGGCAACGTGCCCTTGGTGGGTGCATGGAGACACCTCAGATTTTCTACTTACAGGGAGGCCTGGCCTGCACAGCATCTTGGGGGATTAATGCAGGCATTACCTCAGTGCAGCATTTCCATGATGCCAGTACAATGAGTGGTAACACTATTTGTATGCTCATTCGTTTATTCAACAAATACTTGTTAAGCCTCCACAGCACTGGGATGTCGTAGTGAATAAAACAGAGTGCTTGCTCTCATGGAGATCATAGTGGGGAAGAGAAATATACAATATAGTGCTGAGTGTTGATGGGTGCTATGAATAGTACAACAGGCCAGTAAACAGAGGGCTAGGCAGAGGGAGGAATTGGTGGAAAAGCCTCAAGGTGGTATCAAGTTTTTGTATTGGAGGAACAATTAGAACTAGACAGTGTCTCCAAAGCAAAATGAGCAAGGAGAAGAAGACAGTAGCTGTTGGGCCTGGAGGGCCAGGACTGAGGTAGATCCCAGTGATTTGTCTCTGTTCACATGACAAGTCATTGTTAAGGTAGGAAGTGAAATCATGGCCTTGAGAGTCTTTCTGAGAAGGCTCTTCTCCTTAGTAATGGCCCCAATTTTCTTAAGTCCCTCTAGTAAGCTAGGCATGTAGGGAAGTATATAAATGCTCAGACTACCAGGGAACCACTTAGGGTTTGAAAGAATTTATGTACTTTCCAACTGCCTAATTTAATAGCTGGGACAGCCTTAGGCATTGAGAGTACAATGGATGTTTAGGAATAATTGGTGACTAAAAGTCATAGATACCAATGAGATTCCAAATAAATTACTGAGAAACATAAGGGTGATGTTTCCGTACACTTCCTCAATTAATTATTACATGTTTTTGTATTGTAACATTATAATGGCTCTGTGTCTTAAAGTATTATCAAATAAATAAAACAGCCAGAAGCTCTCTTTGGTGCAGTATTGATATTATTTTAAAACTGGACTTTTAATTAAAAGTTGTAATGCTTTAACAACAAAAAAATAGAAAAAAAGTTGTAATGTTTTTAATTTATTAAGTGCCTTCTGTACCCTGTTCATTCAAGTACTGTACATAAAGTGCCCTTATGATATTTTGAAAATAAGTGGTCCTAGTTTACCTCTTAGCATTGAGGCTTCAGATGACTTACCTAGCCTGATAAGGCTGGTAAGGTTTGGAGTTAGGATTGCAATCTAGGTCTCAGCTTCACAGCCATTATTCTTTCTGGTATATTTTAGGACAGATATCCTGTTGTGTCCTGGACAAAGCAGATGCCCGGTCAGTAAACAAGGGCATGATTTCACTTTTAACAAAAATTACTCAAGAAAACCAGCATCGGTTACATTACTTGTAACTGTGCGAAGTTGCTGCTTTCTCTCCTGAGGCTGTGGTAACTCATGGAGCTGCAAGGGGAAAGACAAGGGGAGATGTGCACAGAGGTTGGATGTGGAAGTACTTGCTAGAACGCCATCTCCAGCTGTTGCAAGGGTCAAATGGCATTCTGTGGGGATAGACAGGTTGGCTAGGATTTTGAAGAGAATGAGGTGTTAGAATGCATCATGTGTTGTATAGGCGGGGTAATATAGCATGCTGTCGGGTCGCAGATTGCTGGTAGAATTGTGTGTTGATCATTTTGTTGTTGTTGAGACGGAGTCCTGCTCTGTCACCCAGGCTGGAGTACAGTGGTGTGATCCCAGCACACCGCAACCTCCGTCTCCCAGGTTCAAGCCATTCTCCTGCCTTAGCCACCTGAGTAGCTGGGATTATAGGCATGAGCCACTGCACTCGGCTCATTTTTGTATTTTTTTTTTCTTCCTTTTTAGTAGAGATGGGATTTCGCCCTGTTGGCCAGGCTGGTCTCAAACTCCTGACCTCAGGGATTCACCCACCTTGGCCTCCCAAAGCTGGAGGTTGCAAGTGTGAGCCACCATGCCTGGCCACACATCGAGTATAAGCCAGTTTGCTGGGCAGATCTGACACTTGTGGGACCCACCTTCAGCTTTCTGGGGTACCTTGACCCAGTCATTTTGGAACTCAGTTTTTTTCAGTCTGTAAGATATTGGGATTGTAGTTAATGATCTCCAATGCCATTTTGGCCTTTTTTAAAAAAACACATGTATGTGTGTGTATATTTGCAATTTGACACATCTTTTTTCTGACATACTTGTTTTCTACAAGTATTTTTAGCAAAGTAGAATTTGTGAATGTGTTTAGAATAATTCAAGATACATACATCAATTGTAAGTTTTAGAAATCTTTCCTTCAGCCAAGAAAATAGTAAAAATTAAGCTTCTCTTAATGGAAAAGAAAGGTAATTTTAAGTTCCTCTCCTTCAGAAAAGTTCTTACATGCTAATAGTGTGTATCAGGGAAGGGTCAAATCCATTAAAACTCTCCCAAGTGGAACAAGTGACCTGAATTACTTGTTTGCTTAAGTCAAACAGGAAAGTTCTTCTTCCTTTGAACTGAAATAATTCCAGGAAATGCAATAAAGAAGCTGAGGGAGAAAGAATGCACAGAGGAGAGACTGCTGTTCCAGCCTAGCCTGTTACCTACAGTCTTCACAGCTCCACAAGCTCTGGCAGTTCCTGTTACATACAGTTTATGTGCTTGATAATATTCAGGGTGTTAAATTCATCCCCTTTCTACACCTTGATTGTCTTTTGCAAATGGACTTTTTTTAGTTTTGTATGTTGGAGAGCTTCAACTTTTCAACGTAGCCCACTGAAGTTTTTTTTTAAGTACATGAAATAACTTCTAAGATTGTACTTTCCATTTACCATCAATCCATTCTACATCAAATTCAAAATGTTAAGTAGCAGTGAGTCTTCTAATTATAATTTGCTTTTTCTTCCCTTTCCAAATCTCTTTCCAGGAAATGACCCATTCATGGCCTCCTCCTTTGACAGCAATACATACGCCTAGTACAGCTGAGCCATCCAAGTTTCCTTTCCCCACAAAGGTAATTCCTTAAAAGTGTGGCAGGCACTGCATCCATCTTTGTGGAAAGCTTAAGGCATTGCTGTGAGGCAGATTGATAAAGTATTATTGTTCAAATCTTTGGAAAAGAGGTTAAAATTATGATTAATTTACTTTCTACAGTGTTTCACAATGCTTTCAAACACTTTATTCTCCAACTTAATTAAGAACATCTTGGATTTTCATAAAGCCTTATAACTTATAAAAAGCATTTAGGATTTTCCAATATATTCTCTCATTTAAGAATCCTTACTTTAAGAGATGGGGAAACAGAGGGGCAGGGAAATTGAGTGTGTGATTTCTCGTTCAGAATTAAGTATACACATATGCACATACATCTTACATGTCTCACACTCCCTACTGTTCTTGAGTTTAATGTGATCAGTTGCATGAGTGCTTGTTTAATAACAAGCAAATAAACTGCTGACTCGTGTGTTTCTGTTACAGTATTTATGAATGATGCGTTGAAACACTGCCATTTTCCTTTTTTTGGTTTATCCTTTTGGATAACCTTCAAAATGTAGAAATAGTACCTTCAGATCTGTGTTTTTTGTTCAATCCAATATGCATGTGCATTGTTTTATGTATATAATACATACATGGAGAGAGTGAGAGAGCTATTCTTTTCTATGATACTGTTGTGAAAAGTAGTTCTAGGCTGGGCACAGTGGCTCATGCCCGTATTCCCAGCACTTTGGGAGGCTGAAGTAGGTAGATCACCTGAGTCCAGGAGTTCAAGACCAGCCCGGGCAATGCAGCAAAACATTGTCTCCAAAAAATACAAAAATTAGCAGGGCGTGGTGGTGCGCACCTGTAGTCCCAGCTTCTTGGGAGCCTGAGGCAGGAGAATCTCTTGAACCCAGGAGGCAGAGATTGCAGTGAGCTGAGATTGCGCCACTGCACTCTAGCCTAGCAACAGAGTGCACTCCATCTCA